GGCTCTGTTCTGACAGCTTGGAGCCTGGAGCCTGCTTCAGATTCTGTGTCTCATTCTCTCTCTGCCCCTCCCCCACTTGTGCTCTGTCTCTCAAAAATAAATAAATGTAAAACAAATTTTTTTTTAATGTAAATCCGGGGCACCTGGGTGGCTCAGTCGGTTAAGTGTCCGACTTCAGCTCAGGTCATGATCTCATGGTTCGTGGGTTTGAGCCCCACATCAGGCTCTGTGCTGACAGCTTAAAGCTTGGAGGGGGCGCCTGGATGGCTTAGTCGGTTAAGCGTCTGACTTTTGCTTAGGTCACGATCTTGCGGTTCGTGGGTTCGAGCCCCACGTCGGGCTCTGTGCTGACTGCCAGCTCAGAGCCTGAAGCTTATTTCAGAGTCTGTGTCTCCCTCTCTCTCTGACCCTCCCCTGCTCACGCTGTCTCTCTCTCTCTCCCAGAAATAAATAAAAATTTTAAAAAATATTTTTAAAAAAGCTTGGAGCCTGCTTCAGATTCTGTCTCTGGCTTTCTCTGCCCTTCCCCCACTTGTGCTCTGCCTCTCTGTCTCTAAAATAAATAAACATTAAGAAAAAATTTTTAAAATAATAAAAATAATCTTAAAAATAATAAAAATGTAAATCCATTGTTAAGATTGCCTGAATTTGTGAAATCAGATTGTTAGAATTACAAGGATGTTAAAGATCAGTTTAGGAGCGCCTGGGTGGCTCAGTCAGTTAAGCATCTGACTTCAGCTAAGTTCATGATCTCATGGTTTGTGAGTGCAAGCCCCACATCAGGCTCTCTGCTGTCAGCGCAGAGCCTGCTCTAGATCCTTTGTGTCACTCTCTCAATAGTAAAATGAACATTAAAAAAAGAAAGAAAGATCAGTTTAAAGCATCCTATTAACCCATATATGTGTAAACAGTTTTGAAGAAGTAAACTAGCCTGACTGACATCACATGGCAAATCAAGAAAGAAGCTGGTGGGACTAGAACTCAGGAGCCGAGTCTCGGTCTATGTTTTTGTTCTCCACTAACCCAGTTTCTTCCGTCAAGTAAACAAGATGCATGACACCGCTACAAGTAAGTGCCGTTCACAAACTTGCAGTGAACCAATTTCTCAAAAAGGAGACCCATCCATGGTTGGGCTGGGGAGGCCCCTCAGGAGCAGGGGAAGTGGTGGAGGAGGCAGACCAGTCCTTGACAGCAGGTCCTCACAATGAACCGATAATGAACTGGCTTTCTAGGTGGAGTGAACAGCGGCCATCTCTTTCCTGTGTTGCCCTTCATTAGAGAAGGCAGCCCTATTCTTCATGTTCCCATTTCTGCAAATCTCTCCCTAAATGGACACCCTCCAGAAAAGCTGTTCCTCAACAACCTTCTGGTTGTCTGTTAAATTACAACAGGTTGCAGCTCATAAACAAGTGCCCACAGTGAAGTGGGGGCAGGTACAAAAATAAACTGAAGGCTTGCTTAAAGGAGTTTAGGAGTGACTAGAGTTTACAAATACAGAAACGCATGGGAAGATGTTTGTGTCGAATTCCCACACCAACAGCTTTCCTCTAGTCAAAGTGCTTGGTAGCTGAGTGGGTGCAAGTGTGGAGAACGAGAGAGGGAGAAATTAGAGGGGGTTAATGTGGTATTTCGGTGTCTCTTCCCTTTAAAGTCAGGGTGAAGGAGAGATGTATTACAGCTCTAAAGAAAACTAGTTAAATTGTGATGCAACTGTGTAAAGATATGCATGGCAACAGGGGCTAGAAAGTAATATGCAAATGGGAAAATTACTGGGCTGGGAGACATAGGATTATGGAAGACTTTCTCCCAAACCCTTACTACTGTTCAACATTTTCAATGACATGTTTTAACTTTTCAAATTTGCTTCCTGGCTCTCTAGTTAACCTGATGTTATAAAGTCACAATTCACTAAATTCTTTTTTTTTATTTAAACATTTTTAAGTAACCTCTGCCCAATGTGCTGCTCAAATTTATGACACTGAGATCAGGAATTGCACGCTCCACAGACTGAGCCAGCCAGGTGTGCCCCAGTTCCCTGAAATTCTTTTCTGCTGTTCATCACAGCAGTTGTTAAGACAGCAAAACACTGGGGGTGCCTGGGTGGCTCAGTTGGTTAAGCGTCTGACTTCAGCTCAGGTCATGATCTCAGGATTCATGGGTTTGAGCCCCGCGAGGGGCTCTGTGCTGACAGCTCAGAGCCTGGAGCCTGTTTCAGATTCTGTGTCTCCCTCTGTCTCTGACCCTCCCATGCTCATGCTGTCTGTCTCTCTCAGAAATAAATAAAACATTAAAAAAAAAAAAAAAAGACAGCAAAACACTGGACACTATCTAAATGTTTTAGAGGACTGATGAAACTGGTCCAGTCAGGACAACAGAGCACTATTTAGCCACTTTAAAATGAAGATGTCTATCTAAGTGTGTGGAGATGGAACAGCCGCCCAGAGAGAGTAAATGAACAAACGTAGGACAATGAGTCTAAACACACACACACACACACACACACACACACACACACACACACACACTCAAATGCTGCTATCCATGAAAAATTTCTGGAAGGATGCCCAAGAAAGGTGGAAATGGCTACCTCCATTTGGAGAAGGGAACTAAGGGACTAAGGGCCTGGGGTGGTCACTTTTCATGATACAAACTCCTAAACTAGTTGAAATAAAAGTGTGTGTGTGTGTGTGTGTGTGTGTGTGTGTGGAGAGAGAGAGAGAGAGAGAGAGAGAGAGAGAGAGGTATAACTTTTGTAAGTTCTATTAACTTTCTAGGCAATGTTCTCAGGGTATTCTTCTAAGTGGTTTTAAGACAGAATTACCAAAAGTCCTAAGCTTGTTCCCATACTTAGAAAACAGACAATCTGATTATGCCTACAGTTGTCAAAATGTGGAGGCGATGTGCGAAAAAACTAAATATGCTCATCTTTCAGAGGGAGATCTACTGAGATGTATATACAGAAGTGCAGCCAAGGAACTGGGTCAGCCTCCCACCAGGCTGGAAATAAAGCAGAGCAAGGAAATGAGCTGTTCACTCTTCTTGGTGGTGAAGGGGGGCAGTGCTCAGGGGTGCTCTGCACTTTAAAAAGAGACACATCAGTCCAGATCCACAGAACCACCCCAAAGCTCTGGGAATCATGTTGTTTCCTAAATATTCTGCATCAAGTTTGACCCAGCCTCTGTTCTCTCTGGGCCCAATCAGTATTCCAGAGCTTCAAGGAACCAAAACAATATTCCTGGGTACAGAGCACTGACTTGAACAAGAAAGGTCACTTAAACATCATCTAGCCTCCATATAGGGAACTTGTCTCTGGGTCCCTCTGCCTGATGGTACTATATGCCTGCACTTTAATAATCTGACCTTTTTTTTTTTACAGGACAGGTTACCTTCACTTACAAAATTTCTCTTTGTTTTCATGTATCTCAAGATTTAATAGGAAAGATATTTCACTACAAATTCATGAGACAGGATGGCAAAATCTTGTTGCCGTTCCCTCCTAGGCATCTCAGCCTGGAGGGTGTTCAGAAAGGTACTCGGACCAAGGGGAAAACCAAGATGGTGGGCAAGGTGAAGCCTCTAGTCCATGAAACCTGTTCCAGATTCTGTGTCTCTGTCTCTCTCTGACCCTCCCCTGCTCACACTGTCTCTCTCTCTCAGAAATAAATTTTTGAAAAACGTTTAAAATTAAGAAAAAAAAAAGCATTTGTGTTCAACACATTTCTTCCTGAATTCTGATATGGTTGAAGAATATGTGTTCACGATGTTCCTTCTTACTGCCATGCCTACTAAGCTAGCCAGCTCTGGTCTATTCAGAGATTTTACTTCACTTGCAAGGTGTGTGTGCGTGCATGCGCGCACACACACATGCATGTATGAGCACGCAACTTTTCCCTTAATGATCTCTGATCTTTGTTCCAGTGGCACAGGGCACTAAAGAAAACCTGTTTATAAACGATTTTGGTATATGATGCTTTTCTTTTTGAAACCAGCAGCTAAAATGACACCTGTGAATTCGATTAGTTATGTACACTTTGCCCTGAGACCTCACATACACCAAAGCTGGCTGCATTTCTCTGCATTCTCTCTGCTTAAGTGACCACAATCCTTTCTAACCAGCAGGCCCTTTTTATTCACCAATCTGGAGTGGGGCATTGGTGTGAACTTTTAGTTGGGGAGGATTCCGAATCTCCTGCCCACGTCCAACTCTCCCCCACAAGATGGATGTGTTGACCGTTGCCTCGAATACAAATAGTTTCATCATGGGCTTTTCTCACAGGGCTTGTTTTTTAATGTTTCACTATCTCATTGATACTTTCTCCAAATCTTCCATGCCATTCTCAAAGTCTGAAACTCCAAACTGGAGTGCAGCCTCCAGCACAGACTGTTCACAGCCTGGTGTGGGATCACCTCCCTCCGCTCTGTAGCTTCTATGGGGGTCTTCTCCCCTCTGCAGATGCCAGCATTCCGCCACTGCCTGTGCCAGCCTGCAGAGCCTGCTGACTCATGCTTATGTTGTGATCTGCTAGGACCCTGAATCTTCTGCTCCTCCATCAGGACAGCCACCACCCACTTCATGGAGCACTCTGCCCATCCCGTTCCGGGGTCTTCGCTCTGACCTGATAACAAGCCTCCCGCAAATCTGCTCTGCTTCCCCTGGCCCCGCCCCCCCCCCCCCCCCCCCCCCCTCCCCCCCCCCCCCCCCTGCATCTGCCTCACCCGGAAGACGCCCTTGGCACCTTTGCGGCACAGGTTGTGCGGGCAGGGCAGGATCACCACCGGTTTGGAGAACATCTCCAGGCAGATGGGACAAATGAGCTGCTTCTCCAGGTTGTCCATGCTGTGTGCATCCCCTNCTTCATGGAGCACTCTGCCCATCCCGTTCCGGGGTCTTCGCTCTGACCTGATAACAAGCCTCCCGCAAATCTGCTCTGCTTCCCCTGGCCCCGCCCTCCCCAAGCCCCCCCCCCCCCCCCCCCCACAGCCCCCTGCATGTGGCTCACCTGGAAGACGTCGTTGGCACACTTGCGGCACAGGTTGTGCTGGCAGGGCAGGATCACCACCGGTTTGGAGAACATCTCCAGGCAGATGGGACAAATGAGCTGCTTCTCCAGGTTGTCCATGCTGTGTGCATCCCCTAGCAGCGGCTTGAAACCCACTGTGAAGTTCATCCCCTCAGCGATCGTGCCTGCCCTGGCCTCGGCCTTGGTCCTGGCCTTCCCTCACTGCCTCTGGACCCTTCCTCGTTTAGACGGTCCACGGATTCTTGTTCCCTTCTACTGCTCACTCTTGAAATAGCTCTGCTATCTCTTCTGTCCCCTCCTCCAACAATTCACCTTGTCCTCAGATAGCTGTTTTCAGACACTTCTCTGTCCCTCTGTATTCTTTGCTCTGTAACTCAGCCAGGCACATGTAGCTTTATCTATCTTTCCCTCCCTGAGTGACTCTGTCCCTGGAAATTTCTCCTTTTGTTCCCCAAATGACTCTTGTTCACTCTATGGGCAGCACTGTTTGTCCCTCTCTTCCCAGAGAGGAGATTAATTTTAACATGGGGGTAGGGAACAAGGGGCATCTGCATGACATTCCAACTCCCAATTTAGCTCATGTAAGGCGAGCCACAGCTGTCACCAAGTGAGTGACCCTGACTCACTCGGGAATGGGTGACTCCCTTAAGCCAGAGCAGGGATGAGTTTCACTGTTTATGGTGAAAGGTAGACCTGCAAAGGTGTCAGGCTCTCACACTCAGAAGGCTCCTATGAGCCCCTGCCACCCCCCACCCCCACCCCGTGCTCTGGCTTAGGCTCTTCTTCCACAGCAGTGATACACAATCTAAGCTGGCCTGGATGAGGGGGACCATGCATGGCTCAGGGTGGCAGGAAAGATGTCGCCAGACCTACAGTCAGTGAAAGTTTCTGCCTCCAAGGCATAGCCAGTGACCTTTACCTTCTTCGGCTGAACCCTATAATTCAGAACAGGGGCATCAGAAACTAGAGAGAAAGGCTCTGGTCCAACACTTCTGGTCCATTGTTGTTCTTGCCCAGAACCTTCTTACACCACCCTAGGAAAAAAAGCTAAGAAGGCTAGAGCTGACAGTCGCACCAGGGCCTGGAACGACCTCATGAGCATGCCTCTGAGAAAGTGTGGGAATTTGGTCCATGAACACATCACTGGAGCCACTCCAAGGACTTTAAATTTGTTAGGAAATCGAGAGAAGTTGAGCTGAGCAGAAGGGACCTGAGTGCCAGGAACCTATTTTGGGTACCAGGGGAATTGGTCTCCGGGGAAATTTTAGAGCACTGACAAAATCATAATCACAAGGCTCCGGGAAGTCTCTGCCCCAACTCCACAGTTGTCCTGGCCTCCTCCTCTCCAAGGCAGGCTGGTCTCAGATGTGAGCACTAGCCCTCTGTTTTTTTCTCCCCAGGCCTTTTTCTCTATCCCAGGCACAATTAGTCTTTCTTGGGCCCAACAGATGGACTGGGATTGGACAAAAGCTCTTTTATTTACTGACATTCTTTAGCCCTTCTCCCAGTCAGGAGAGAGGTTTGAGGAGTTACGGGGCTCTGACCTTGAGTGAACAGGAAAATAAATGGTGTGGAGAGGATACCAAACAGGCAGTGTGAAGAGGCATGAGTGGTAAAAAGGGTCTGGAAAAGTATAATCTCCCTATCACATGTTTCACGCCCCTGTTTTAAGCACAAAATATATGATGGTCAGTCTGCATAAGACATGGTAAAAAGGATGAAGGCAAGCAGGCACGGATATGTGAACTTCAGCTAATGCTAAGGGGTGCTGTGCTGTGGTGCAGTCCAGGGAGAATCCAAAGGTGGGAGAACTACCCTTATATCTCAAAAGCATCCATACTTTGCAGGGTTGACTCATGGTGGCATAGAATAAGGCTGACACGGTCAAGTGCATGGACACCAGAAGAAGGTGAGACCAGCCCTAGAAAGGTGTGCTGGCATAGGAATGAGACTGATGCTTAGAGTTCTTGGTGCAGAGGTGCAACAAAGGAGGTTAGCTGCTCTAGTAGCTCCGGGAAAGGATCCACCCTGCTCAGTTATCAGGACCTTGGTGGAGATATCACAAGTGACTCAGGGACCCTACCAGCTGAAATTGGCTCAAATCCCAAGGAAGGCACAGGAAAAAGAATGCTGGAGAAAAGTCTGTCACCACTGCCTGAGACCTCATAAGGGTAGGGATGGGAGGGCTCCTCTCTAAACTGGTTAAAATTGGAACTGGACCTGAAAAGAAGAGTGGCTGGGTGACCCTGTATTGCCAGAGTCAGTGATACCATCAAGGTCAGAGGCGGCATCCTCACTGGGATGGATGCCATCAATGCTTCTGAAGTTGGGATTCTTATAAGAAGAGGGGCAAATCAGGGTCAATGTCAGGACAGGGCTACTTGCTCCTCTCCTCAGCGTTATCAAGTGGACTGGGTGGCAGAAGGCACCTGGGGGCAAAAGAAGTCGGCGTCTTACTAACAAGAAAGAATGACGATCCAGAATTTAAAGCAATTTCTCTGTGGATAAAGATATAAACATCTGAAATCCACAGTGTAAAATATAAACTTTCTACTAATGACTCATCAGAAATTAGTCTATGTTCTTTTCTTATACCTTGATTTTGGCTGCATTTTAGTTTTTATATATACCTCATTTCTCTTCATCTTTTAGGCATAATATTCATTATTATCTTCCTCTCTTCTAAAATTTCTTTTGTTTCCTATGGTGGAATTTGAAAAACACATATATCAATATTTAATAACAAGTTTTAGTCCAGGGGTGAGAAAAGCATCCCTTTGCAGTTACTCATCAGCATCACTAGGTGGCACTACAGTGAACTTCAATCAAGCCACATTTCAAAGTTTAACTGCTTAGGGCCGGGATAATCTGACACTTCATCTTCCTTTGGAGTAAAGGCAGTAGACTTCATCCACTAGCTTGTCTTCAACAACTGCCTTTTCTAGGCACTCTCCCATCCATTCCTTACCCTAACTCCCCCCGAGTCCCAGTTCCTTAGCTTAACAGTCATGAGAGGCCAATATTACATTCAAACTCTCAATTGGTGGCAAAAACCCTTCAGAAACTGGGTGTATCCCCTTCTCTTCCTTCACTTTGCCTCAATGTTGACTTGAGTCTCCAATATTATGGGTTCACGGCTTCACTCCCAGCTAGTCTTTCATTCCTAATCCAGTTCTTACCTCAAGCCCTGTCTATGGTCCTCACCTGACCTGGGAGGCTGATTCTGGACATTCTGCTGATATTTTCTAGCAATGTCCTCAGACGGTGGCTTAAGTGTTCCACAGCAAAAGCAGCAACAGCAGCAGCAGCAGCAGCAGGTGAGCAGAGCACACAGGAGGACTAGTGTCTGAAAGGTAGGAAAGAATGGCCTTGACCCAGCAGTTCTAGATTTTCATTCCAGCTCCCCTCCCTGAATCCCCCCAGCACCCAGAAAATGAGACAGCAGAAGCATTTGCCCTAGGAGAGGAGGCTCAGCTCTTCAAGAAGAGGAGGGTCACCCCTCCTTCCTTATTCTTAAAGGACTAGGAGGAATTGTATACCTTGAACCAACAACTATTCAGTATGAAATAGTAAGTGACGCCTTCTTCGCCAAAGTGCTCATATATGTATATTCCCAGAGAGCCATGCCGGTCGTAGATTTTCCGCTTCTTGGGGTCACTCAGTATGGAGTGGGCTGTGTTGATTTCTTTGAATATTTCTGTTGCTTGAGCGTCCCCTGGATTCTTGTCTGGATGATACTTCAAGGCCAGTTTCCTAGTCAGGCAATACCCAAAAGAAGGGTGGGGAGAGGATGGCTGGGGAATGGCTGGGGAGGGAGGGTAGGATGAATGACAGGGATAGGTCTCTGGATGTGAAGAAAGAATGCATGATATGTGATGCCAAGGATGGAGGCAAGCAGCCCAGGTCTAAATTCAGTCCCATGCCACAGTGAAATGGATGATGGCTCCGTGTGACCCAAAGTGAGGGCTCGAGGATTTAAAAATGGGTCAGAAAGCAAGGTAGAAAGAGAAAGGTTTAAGGGGGAAATCCCAGGGTAAGAGGTAAGTGTAAGGGTAAGAAGCTGAAGTCTAAACCTGTAGGCCTTTTTGATGTCTTCTGGTGAGGCGCCCTTCTTAAGCTCCAGCATCGCATAGTGGGTGGTGCCACTTTTGGACAGCCGGTGGGCCGCTTCATCCAGATGGGCCATGATCTGGGTCAGAGGAGAAGCATTTGTGAGAACTTCCACAGGTGAGGCCTCAGAGAAGTGAGACTCCCAGCGACAGGAAACCCATCGCCTTCATTGGCCAGTCAAGTAAAATGACTCCAAAGAGACAAGTATAAGACAACAGTGAGTGGGCTCTGTGACCAGCAGGAGAGCGCAGGTGACCAGAAAGGACAGCCAAATTCAAATTTTGAAGAGGAAATGTCTCCTCACATTTCCCAGCATCCTTCAGCCACACAGCCCTCCAGACACACCCCGCCTCGTAAGCAAGGGGAGGCCCAAACCATGGGAAGAAGTGGATTTTGTCCAGAAGGACTGGCACCTGAAGCAAACGGCCTGACCCAGCTCACTGGGGCAGCCCAGTCCTCGTGCAGGCGGTGTCAGGGATCGGGGAGATGCATAGTTCCCAAGACAGAAACAATCCAGACCAAATCCTGAGCCACCTGAGAAGTCAGGTGTCCCGAAAGCCAGGCCCAAGGATGCTGCTGCGGCTAGGCCAGAGACCTTCTTCTCCCTAGCCTCACCTCTCAACCCTCAGAGGCAGGGCAGCGGGGACAGCACTGGGGGGGAGGGGAGGTGACTCCAGGGATGAAGCCCCAAGCGAAAGGGGGAGCTGTGGCAGCAACCAGCCAGGGGCCAGGGAGCAGGGCCCCGGAGGGTGGGAGAGCGCCCAGGCCGGAATGTTCTGGTTCCCAGGTGGCCTCTGGCTGTGTGTGGACTCCCCGCCCGGCCTGGCGCTCTACTTCTACCTTAGGGTCGCTCTCTTCAGCTGGGGAGGCCTCGCACAACCTCCATCCGGGTGTGAAACTTCACACCGCAGAGATCCAGTGCGCAACTGCGCTTGTGCGCGACGCCAACCTTCCGGGTCGCTTTTTGGCGCCGCCGGAATGTCTGGAAGGCGAGGCTACGCGGACGCTGGGACTTATTTCACTCAGGGGAAGCCTGGGCGGAGGGATCAGCCCTCTTGCCGCGCGACCCCTCCAGCTCTTCCGGTGCCTCCAGCTCTTCCGGTGGGCGTGGCCTCCAGTGCCACCTCTACTCTCGTGGACGGGGATCGCCAGTCCTCGTCCCGCGCGCAGTGCTCATCGACTCACTTAAAAAAGGATGTTGGTGGGGCGCCTGGGTGGCTTAGTCGGTTAAGCATCCGACTTTCGCTTAGGTCATGATCTCGCGGTTCNGGGTTCGAGCCCCGCGTCGGGCTCTGTGCTGACTGCCAGCTCAGAGCCTGGAGCCTGTTTCAGTCTGTGACTCCCTCTCTCTCTGACCCTCCCCTGCTCACGCTGTCTCTCTCTCTCTGCTAGAAATAAATAAAATATTAAAAAAAAAAAAAAAAGGATGTTGGGTTTGCCCGCCGTGGCTATGTAAGAGGTACGGCTCTTGCAGGAGCCTTTCTCAAGAAGTGTATTACCTTCCGAGTCTTCTTTTCAGAATTGAGGCCTCCACTTCGTCCTTTCTTTCCCTTCTACCTGGAAACGCCTACACATCCTTTAAGACCCACCTTGAAGGTCAGTATTCCTGGGAATCCTTCCTTCATTTCCCTAGTTGTTCCCACCTTGCTCTGTCAAAGCATTTATCTTATTATATTGTAATTACTAGCTTGCACGTTCCCTTTAAATGATAGCTTGAACGTTTCCAAAAGTCACTACTGTTCTTCAAAAGCTTCATTTAAATACGATTATATCATGAGGATGTGCCATTATGTATTTATATAATCCAGATTGGATACTTAAGTTGTCCCTAACCATTTGATAGTGTAATAACCTTATAATGAAAATTCTTTTTTTAAAATATTTTATTTCTGAGAGAGAGAGAGAGACCATGAACAGGGGAGGGTCAGAGAGAGAGGGAGATACAGAATCTGAAACAGGCTCCAGGCTCTGAGCAAGCTGTCAGCACAGAGCCCGGTGCGCGGCTCCAACCCATGAACCGTGAGATCATGACCTGAGCCGAAGTCAGATCCTTAACCGACTGAGCCACCCAGGCGCCCCATGAAAATTCTTATCTATAAATCTTTGAATAAATGTCTTCCCTGTCCCTTTGAGGTGGATTCCTGGAAGGGAAATTATTGGGTCAAAGCGATTTTTTTTTTGAGACTCTTACCCCATGTTGCCAACTTTCTTTCCAGAAAGGTACTTTCCACAAGTACCAATTTACATCCCTGCCTGCAGGGCTTGAGAGCACCTATCTCCACCTGACTTCACTTCCTGTGATCACCTGTAGGAGGCAGTGTTTCCACCACCTATAATATACCACTTCCTAATTTTGGTTTTCTTTACAGAGGAGCACTCAGTAGCTTCCGTAACATGTGATTAAAAGAGCTTTGTTATTTCAATAATATTTCTCTGTTATACCTCGTGTGGCTTTTGTGGCTCTCTTCCCTTTATTACAGTCTTCTGTGCACATTACATCCCCTTCCAGGTTTTAAGTGATAAAGCAGTATCCATCCCAAGAGATGTGAGCCATCTGAGTCCATATACTATAGGCACAATGGCCAGTGAATTAACAAATCTATTTCTGTAGATCTGTGATCAGTGTAGGGGGTGGGGAAGAAAATCTTTTGGCATCAGCCACCTAGTTGATAGATTCTGGGTCAGAGGAGTTTATAAGTTAATCACCTAAAACAAAGCAGCTGAAGCTGACAATTTTTTTTCATGGTTCGTACTATGATACATTCCCCTAGCTAACTTCCAGCCTTTCATCACCGTCATGGATGGGAGAACGAACAGAGCAACCTAGGCTGTTTCTTTATACTGGGAAGACAGCACAAGGCACTAGAAGTGCAGAGGACTTACAATGAATTGCTTACCTCAGTTTCCAGGACCTGCGTGGTCTGGCCCCCACCTCTCACTCTAGCTCTGTTAAGCACCATGTTGTGCTTGCTCTGGTCGCTGCTGCACTGCTTTTCTGTCAGTTCTTTGAAGACACCATGTTCCCTCCCATGTCAGGGGACTTAGGCCAAGTTTGCTCCTCTGCCTGGAAGATTCTGCCTCAGGCTGTTTGCTAGCTGAGTTCTCATTCTTCTAGGATCTCAGCTTCGGATCCTCAGATATGCCTCTCTCTCTCTCTCTCTCTCTCTTTTTCTTTTCTTTTTTTTTTTTTCAAGTAGGCTTCACACCTATCCCGGAGCTGGTTGGGCCTGAACTCCCAACCCTTGAGATCAAGACCTGAGCTAAGAGCAAGAGTCGGACATTTAACTGACTGAGCCACCCAGGCATGCCATCCCCAGATAGGCCTTCTAAATTGAGTTCCACTTCTCCCTCCCTACCTCCTAACACCTTCACCATGATTTGTGAACATATGTTTATTTGTGTGTTGATTTGTGAAGGTCTGCCTTCCCTAGTACAAAATATAACAAATACAAGTCTGTGAAGGCAGGGACCTTATGTTTGTTCACCATTGTATCCCCAGCACCTAGAACCATGCCTGGTTCACAGCAAGTGAGTTAATGATTTGTTGGATGAGCTATAGTAGGGGGAGCCCTCTGCTGGTCCAATGTAGGCCTAGATGTTGAGCCATAGGAAAAATTCCCTAGGGCAGAAGCACTTAACTTGGGAATTGGAAGACTCAGAGCCCATTTTCCTCATATGATCCTGGACAAGAAGAGACATGAGGGTTAAGAAAAAGAAGGTGATAGGGAAGATAGTATTGATGATTCTGAGCTCCGTGTTTCTTGTTTGTCTTAGTCTCCCTCCAGTTCCTAACACAGTTCCTGGGATATTGTAGATGCTCAATGAATGTCGGTAGGTTGAATGAATGTTGTATGTCTTTTCAGAGGCACTTTAACCTAATAATATCTTTTTATTCTCAGAGCAACCATGAGAGGTGGTGTGATCACATCCCTGCTCCATAGCAGAAGTGAGCCCAGAGAAAGAGGGCAAACTAGGTTCTGAGAAGAGTTAGTAAATATCTTCCAGATCTTACCAGAGGCTCCAGAATGTTATTACTTCTTATCATTGCCCTCTGACATTCTAATTAATTCTAATCATAGTTTGCTGGCTCTTGAAAGCCATTATCTTCTGAGCCTCTACTCTGAATGCAAAGACTCTGCAGCCTAGTGGCTGCAGAGATGGGCATAGGGCAGGCAAGTCAGCCTGGCATCCTTTGCTAGAACCTCTTCACTTTGCCTTCACCTAGAAACAGACCCCTTGCAGGTCTCTGCACATGGTCTCTTCTAACACCCAGAACAGTATCAGGAAGAACACACAATCCCAGAGTCAGAAGCCTTAGACCTTGGTTTTGGCTCTGGCTCTGATGAGCCATGTGATCTTGAACAAGTCACTTAATCTCTGAGACTCTCTTTCTTTTTCTAAAACCTGTGCCTCCAGAGGGTTGATGTCAAAACCAAATTAGATGTGGTTGTAAAAACAACAGAAAAAATAAAAATAACTATGCTGAAGAATGATTTCAGACTAAAGCCTTCTCTAGAATCATTTACCCTTAAGTCACTGATCTTACAGTTTACTATCTCGCAGAGCCATTTGGTCTCCCCTGGAGAAAACCAAGAAGCATCCCTTATTTACCCACAAACAGCTAAAGTTTTACTCATATAGCTGGAATACCCGTATACATACGGACAGCAGACATTGGCATCTTTATACCCAAAATATCATGTTCTTGAGCGCATGCAGTGGGAGAGAGAGATCATAATCTGTCATACCCAACCACTAGGTTCTAGAATTGTATAGTTTTCGAGCTGGAAAAGACCTCAAGCTTTAACTCCCATCTAACGCCTTCATTTTGTAATTGAGGAAAGTATGGCTCAGAGAGAAGGACTGACTTACTCAAAGTCAACCAGTAAGGTCCAGACCTAATCTGAGCCTTCTTTTTTTTTTTTTTTTTTTTTTAATTTCTAGGAGAGAGAGAGAGAGAGAGCATGAGCAGGGGAGGGTCAGAGAGTCAGAGAGAGAGGGAGACACAGACTCTGAAACAGGCTCCAGACTCTGAGCTGGCAGTCAGCACAGAGCCCGACGCGGGGCACGAACCGCGAGATCATGACCTAAGTGAAAGTCGGACGCTTAACTGACTAAGCCATCCAGGCGCCCCCTGACCTGAGCCTTCTAACTTAAGTGTCTATGCCATAACCTCTCCTTATACATGCCAGCTCCCTTCCCACTTTATTTTTTAAAAAATTTTTAATTAGGGGCGCCTGGTGGCTTAGTCGGTTAAGCGTCCGACTTTCGCTTAGGTCATGATCTCGCAGTTCATGGGTTCGAGCCCCGCATCGGGCTCTGTGCTGACTGCCAGCTCAGAGCCTGGAGCCTGTTTCAGTCTGTGACTCCCTCTCTCTCTAACCCTCCCCTGCTCACGCTGTCTCTCTCTCTCTCTCTCCTAGAAATAAATAAAAAATATTAAAAAAAAAGAAAAAAAATTTTTTAATTAAAAAAAATTTTTTTAACATTTATTTGTTTTTGAGACAGAGAGAGACAGAGCATGAGCTGGGGAGGGGCTGAGAGAAAGGGAGACACAGAATCTGAAACAGGCTCCAGGCTCTTGAGCTGTCAGCACGAGTCCAATACGGGGTTCGAACCCACAGATTGTGAGATCAGGACCTGAGCTGAAGTTGGACCCTTAACCGACTGAGCCACCCAGGCGTGCCCCTTCTCACTTTATTTTATTTTATTTATTTTTATTTTATTTTTTATGTTTTATTTATTTCTAGGAGAGAAAGACAGCGTGAGCAGGGGAGGGTCAGAGAGAGAGGGAGTCACAGACCGAAAGAGGCTCCAGGCTCTGAGCCGGCAGTCAGCACAGAGCCCAACGCGGGGCTCAAACCCACGAACCGCGAGATCATGACCTAAGCGAAAGTCGGACGCTTAACCTACTAAGCC